AGAAAGTTGGTTAGAATAAAGATACAAAATTTTGAGCTCAGTTAAGTCATCTACAGTTATTGGAATGGTAAGTCGATTTCCGGTTAAATCCAACTCTGTGAGGTTTTCCAAATTCCTCAACTCACTAGGAATGAGACCAGAAAGTTGGTTAGAATAAAGGTACAAAATTTTGAGCTCAATTATGTAACCTAGAGTTATTGGAATTGAACCACTAAGCTGATTATTGCATAGCTCCAGATCATTGAGGTTTTTCAAATTCCCCAACTCTCGAGGAATGAGAATAGAAAGTTGGTTAGAATAAAGATACAAAATTTTGAGTTCAGTTAAGCTACCTAGAGTTATTGGAATTGAACCACTAAGTTGATTACTGGTTAAATCCAGCTCTGAGAGATTTTTCATATTCCCCAACTCTCTAGGAATGAGACCAGAAAGTTGGTTAGAATGAATGTACAAAATTTTGAGCTCAGTTAAGTTACCTAAAGTAGTTGGAATTGAACTAGTAAGACTATTATGGGATAGTTCCATATCATTGAGATTTTTCAAATTCCCTAAATCACTAGGAATGAGACCAGAAAGTTGGTTAGAATGAAGGTACAAAATTTTGAGCTCAGTTAAATCACCTAAAGTAATTGGAATTGAACCAGTAATCTGGTTGATCGACAGGTCAAGACAGACAAGATTAGTGAGGTTTCCTATTGCAGGGGATGATACCAGAGAGCTGATTCATGCTAAGATCAACATATTCAAGAAACGGGATAGATGAAAATGGAAAATCATGGAGTGTACCAATGACACCAGCAGTAGTAATATTCATCCTGTTTATCCGACGATTAAAGCATATAACTCCATACCAACCCCTGCATGCATCAGTACTTAGTTTCCATGAAGCCAATAAGGAATTATTTTTGTTTTGGAAAGTTGCTTTCCATTTGAGGAGAGCAGTTGCTTCCTCAGTGGAAGCAAAAGTAACAGCGAAGAGAGTGAATAGCTGAAGGAAATAAAATATTCTGGGAACCATTTTGAAGGCTAAAAGATTTCAGTTGTTTGTTTTGGATTTTGATGAGTACTTGTGCAGGTATAGTTTTATATTGTAGTGAATCACTACAAGTCTTGTTGAATCGATGGCATTTAATTCTCAGATTGTAAAATACGGATAGAATTAGAATGAGAAGGGTGTCACAATTGTGGCGTAAGCTTAAAGTTGTGGAAATAAATTTCGTAGTTGACGAGCTAATGGACATGCACTAGGAAGAAATTGCACAATTTGTGTTTCAAATAGGTTGATTTTTAATTTTTATCCTTATAATTGAATTTATTCCTTGTGGATATTGTTGGACCAAAATAATTAGGTGTCGAAGCTAGCAAAACAAACATTCAAATATCATGAATAAAAAGACAAACAAAAAATATACCAAAATATACAAATGTTTAACATAATTCGGTCAATTGACTTATTAAATCCACTAGAGGAGATGAGCAATTCAATACATAAATATGAAAGTATAAAATATCAAGAGAAATAAACTCACACAATTCACTCGGGATAAAAAGAGGTGCACACAAGTGTTAACGTAACACTTGTGTCTCACATATTATCCCCTACACAAAACTCTCAAAGCCCTACCTTGTGAATATTACTAAGTTATAAGAAACAAACCTCTATTTATAGAGTCATAAATATTTTCCTACAAGAAAAAGGACTAGCCAAATATGGAGACTTTGTGTTTCCTTTTAGGAAAAAGGAAAACTCAATATGGTAAGAAACCCATGGCAAATTCCCAACAAATCTTCTTCTTGTCATGAATTTTTGACAAAATAAATTTACTCCACCTTCTTCACATAATCTTCAATAGGTTGCATCTCCATCTTACTAATCTTCTCCATTAAATTTATGTCTTCACACACAGTAACACTCTGATAAAATTTCTCTAACAAAAATCTTCTTTACGGTAAAATGGGTTGTAGTTAGAATTGAGCCCCCCAAGATGAACATCCATTTTTAACCTCGCTCTGATATCACTTGTTGGACCGAAATAATCCGGTGTCATGCGGATCAAAGCGAACCTCAAAAGATACAAATATGAGTAAGAAAACAAACGAAAAATACCAAAGCAAACCTCAAAAGACCCTGAGTAAGAAGACAAATGAGAAATATACCAAAAGACACAATTTATTTTATACATAAAAGTATTTACTTTGATATAATTTATAAATATTTCTTATATGTTTTCATAGTTTTTATTTGTTAACATATTATTTCAAGTTTGACTTATTTATTTGCAATATTTATTTTATGCAATTTCATTATTATTATTATTTGTTGAATATCTTAGTGTCATCACTTATATTATATTTTGTATTATTTTTTAAAGAAACACTTTAGGTAGTTGGTTTTGGTAGGACTAAAGAAATACTATTTCAAACACAAGTTAATAATATGTTTGTATTAATACTTTATTGAAAAAACCTGAAAAATCTGAATTTTATTAGTTTGATTTGGTTTATAGATTTAAAAATTCGAAACAAAGTATTTGATTTAATATTAGAAAAATCCAAACCAACATTATCCATGTACACCCCTACTCAACATATATAGTATGTGGTAGCTATAACACAAGACTTGTTGTTTTGACAAATTGATGATTGGAGTTTGTTCTATATGGTATTTACATGGATGTAAAAATTGGCATAGGCTTCCAGCAATGGACAAAAAGTAATCCTATTAGTCATTTCATTGAAGCATAACTCCATATATATGTTCAGTTGGGGAAAGTTTTGAACAGAGAGGATCATTATCTGGATTCTATGCACACAGATAAAATCTTTGAAATCGTAAGACGAACAATGTGTAACATAGTAGTCGTAGTATTTCCCTTATTAGTTCTTATCCTTCAATTTCTATTACTATCTTTTGCTCCTTGTATTCTGTTCTGTTAGTACCTGATGTTGTTGTTACTTTTTTATTATTACTAGTTATAGGGAACGTGCATTGCACGTTTGTCTCCTACTATTTTATAATATTTACACAAACATAATTTTATGTTGATAGTTATTTATCGCATAATTTATTTTTATAGATATGCCAAAACTTGTATTGATTAATATGTAGATGTATAAAGTTTACATTTTCATCCAAAAGAAAAAAATAGAGATTTGAAATATAATCGTCTAGAGTAAGAGATATTCTAGTAAATATATAGATGTTTTCTCTATACAGACACAACCATTTAGGTTAATATTATAATTTTATTTTTACTTATTTGTTTGACAGCTAAGAAATACTCAAATATGTAGGAATCAATTAAGATTATATAACACCTAATCTAATAAGATGAATCTTAGATTTAAATTTAAGAATAAAATATACAACATTATGGAGTATTATCTTCTACAAATTTCTTATATCATTCTATAGAAGTGGTGGTACCCTTGGACGACCAAGGGTATTCCGGTCATTTCATTCCTTAAATTTTGTCCTGAATCTTCATTCTGTTCCCGGGATTCTTTGCCGCGTGTCTCAGCGGGAGATTCTTTTCTCTTGGGCCTTTTCTATTCCCCGGATTGTTTGACGCGTGTCCAGCGGCGACGTCAATTCGTCCACACCTTTCACAATTCAAAGCGCAGCTTGTCCTATATTTTATTTTTTTATCATCTCATTCCTTCGGAATGCCCTTGCACCAGCAAGGGTATTCCAGACATTTCCTTCCAACAAAAAGAGATCTTATCCTGCTGACCTTTCTGCTCCTGGGATTGTTTGCCGCGTGTCTCAGTGCCCACGTGAACCGATCGACGCGTTTCCCAATTCACACTACAACTTTTCGTATATGCTCTTACGGACAAATTTACTTCCTCCGTCGTACCTCCTTCCTCATTCTATAGAGCTACGTTGGAAACCCAAGACTTCCTCTCTATACAGTTTTCCTCCTTCTGCGAACTGCCAACGCAAAGGTGCGCTCTATTTCTTGCATGTGCACATTATTTCTCCGCTTTAAGGGATGATCCCCTATTTGTCTTCCTTTTGTTCTTGCTCACTGCTTGGATGCTGCTCACTTTCAACTCTTCTTGCTCGATCATAATCTCACAATCAACAAAAAATTAAAAGGGATTTATTGTTAATTCAAAACTCATGGCCAAGATACGAAGGAAATATTATTTTTGGTCTTCTCATCTGAACTGAAAATCCACGAAAATGGTGGATGTATTCTGCCCGAGGAAACCACAAAAATACTATCTTCTAGACTCCACAATTAACATTCCTTTGTATCGTTGCCTTGGTTATGTAGCAGTATCTTCTCTGCTAAAGTGGACTAGGCATTACACAAAAGTCAAACATTCCTCACAGTTAGTATAGCTTATTTCGGAATATTTATACCATCCTTTTTATATAAACCCATTTATTCTTCTTTGAAAAATTACACTCTAAAACAAAATATTACTTTTATTTTATAAGCTTTTTCCATTTCCCCCCTATATTGTGTTCTTCCTTCTATTTCTTCGACGCAAAAATTTACGATACAGTTTCCTTGCTTTTATTTTGCTCTAACACAACAAACAACTACTTTAATTTTCTCAGGCTTTCGATTTCAAATTTCTGTGCCTCAAACAACAAGGAATCAACACATGTACGTCCTTACACTTCCTTCTTTGTGCTTGGTTATATTACATTTTATCATTACGCTCTGATTATGTGCTATTCTAAATTGTTTACTGCGTGTTTTCCTCGCAACTTTCACTAGAAATATCTAAGAGCTCTTCCGCCCATATGTCTGATAACAAACTGCAACTCAACGCTGCTCAAACTGAGCAAACAAGTAATTCACAAAATATTGCCAAAAATCTTAAGCGCCGAATTGCCTACAAACAAATGCCTGCTGAAAAAAAGACAGCTCTTCTAGAGCGCCGTCGGGCTCGCTACTGCGCTCGAAGACATGGTTTTCCTCAAAAACATCTTCCTCCTCATTCCTCATTAGCTACTTCCGCGGGAGAACAACTCATTGAGTGTAACAGTGTGTATGAAATAGGTTAGCCACAGCTTCATTTTAAGCTTCCCTCTTACTTATAAACTACTATTCGATAGTTATTTTCTATACTATAGGTTAATACACATAATCCTACAGGATCAACATCCACCACATGTAGTGACCATTCCAATTTACTTCATCCAGACCCAACTGTCAAAGGTCTATTCATATTACCTTCTATTACTACTACTACCATCATTTATTTTTAGCTTAGCTTTTGCTAAGCTGTATTCTCATTCTGCAGAACCCACACAGAGCCAAATGGGTTGTTGGAGTAACAACCCATTACCTTGCAGCCCTGCTCTGTTAAAGAAAGTTCCAAACTGCAAATTCTGCCAAGCCAGAAGATTTCAATATGAATCCCCTGGTTTTTGCTGTGCCAATGGCACTGTCAAATTAATTTCACAGCAATTACCTCCTGCACTACAGAGACTGTATTTCGGTGACACTAATGAATCCAATCATTTCCTCACTTACATCAGAACATACAATAATATGTTTGCCTTTACTTCACTTGGAGTAAAATATGATAAGGAATTAGCAAAAAGGAATCAAGGTATATATACCTTTAAAGTTCAAGGTCAAATGTATCATTTCATAAATAATCTCTTCTCCCATGATAATCAGGTTAGAAACTTACAGGTTTACTTCTATGATAATGACGATGATATAATTAACAAAATGTTGTTCTCCGAAAATCTTGAACGAACAGTTGTTGCGAAGTTACTAGATATCCTACAGATTAATCCATATTCCATGTTTCTTAAATCCTTAACATGCATTCCAAACTTATCTAACTTCTACATTGCACTTAAATGTGATTCTGCATTGGACCAGCGAACACATAATTTACCCACTGTCTCCGAGGTTGCTGCTATATTAGTTGATGATGACTCAAATAATGTTATTTCTACACCTCACATTCGCATTTACACTCACTCTGATCGTAGCCAATTAGTGCATTATTACTACGGCTGCTACGATTCATTACAATATCCTCTATTGTTTCCTTATGGAGAAAATGGGTGGCATTGTGGTATTCAAAAATTCCTTCGCCAACCCATTTCTTCAACCAATCGTTCTACTTCTAATAATGAACAACTTCCCCAGGTATCTAACTGGTCCTCAATTGATGGACTTCTTATTGTTGAACAACAATTCTTACAAAATCAAAGGCAAAAAAAAAATACAGTCTCATGCCGCGAGTATTACTGTTATAAACTTCAAATTAGAGATAATGAAGAAAATGGAACCTTACATTCTGGGAGACTGTTCCAACAATATTCTGTGGACGAATTTATAAAAGTTGAAACCCAACGACTTGATTTTGTCTGGTTCAATCAGGATCTCTATAGATCTGATGTATTAGTAGGACTCATGGATCTTCAGAGACAAGGAGAAAGAGATGCTTCAAACATAGGCAGAAAAACAATTCTTCCTGCCAGCTTTACTGGAGGTCCCCGAGATATGCGTCGTCGATATATGGACGCCATGGCCTTAGTACAACAGTTTGGAAAACCCGATATCTTTCTGACAATGACATGTAATCCTTCCTGGCCAGAAATCCAAGAATTCTTATTACCAACTGATGAAGTTCAAAACAGACCCGATTTAATAAGCCGAATATTTAGAGCAAAGGTTGAAGATTTAAAGACAGATATTGTTAAGAAAAAAATCTTTGGAAAAGTCGCCGCTTATATGTACACTATAGAATTTCAAAAGCGTGGTCTTCCCCATGTACATTTTCTTATCATACTTACGGATGACCACAAATTCTTAACACCTGAGGCTTATGATAAAGTTGTTTGTGCTGAGATACCTGATCTCGCAACAGCTCCTTATCTACACTCTTTAGTTATTAAACATATGATGCATGGTCCTTGCGGAATATTAAATCCTAAAAGCCCCTGTATGAAAAAGCTGGGACAATGTAAATTTAGGTTTCCTAAAAATTATGCCTGCGCAACATCCAAAGGTGAAAATTCATATCCAATATACAAAAGACGAGACACAGGAAAATATTTCAAAATTAGAACTCAATATCTTGATAACTCATGGGTTGTTCCTTATAATCCCTATCTCTTAGCTAAATTTAATTGTCACATAAATGTTGAAATTTGCTCAGACATTAAAGCTGTCAAATATATTTATAAATATATTTGTAAAGGACATGACAAAATTGCTTTTCACATACATGGTAATGATGATTCTGATACAGTAATTGACGAAATCAAAGACTATCGATTAGCTAGATGGGTTTCACCACCCGAAGCTATGTGGCGTTTGTTTGCCTTTCCTATTAACGAAATGAATCCCTCTGTTTACCATCTCCAACTACATCTGAAAGACCAACAATTTGTCTCTTTCAAAACAACAGCAGATCTAAACACAATCTTGAACAACCCTGCAATTAGAAGAATAATGTTAACAGAATTCTTCTCAATGAATACGACAAACAGAAAAGCTATTGAACTCCAGTTATTATACAAAGACTTTCCCCAATACTTTGTTTGGTCTACAAGGGATAAAATGTGGACCCAAAGAAAACAAGGCAACGTCATTGGACGTATTGTTACCTGTCATCCAACAGAAGGAGAAAGATACTACCTTCGACTATTATTGATGAACATAAAAGCCCCAAAATCATACGCAGACCTACGGACTGTTAACGGAACATGTTATATCACATTTAGAGCTGCTGCAGAAAAACATGGACTGATGGCTTGTGACAACAACTTAGTTCAGTGTATGTCTGAAGCAGCTACTTATCAAATGCCACAGAGCCTTAGACGCTTATTTGCAACACTATTAGTGTATTGTAATCCTGCTAATCCAAAAGAATTATGGCAAACGTTTGAATATCCTATGTCTGAAGATTTTCTACTTATACCAAATATACAAACAGACCACATTCGGTTTTTGGTTTTAGATGACATCAATAATATTTTACATTCATTGGGTCATAATATAAATGAATTTACACTCATATCAAATAATAATTTCTCCTTTTCCACATCTTCTACCATAATGCAACAACCCACAGACATCCATTTGGAACGAAATATAATAGTCACAACCGCAGATTTGTTGCTTCATACAAAATTAAATAAAGAACAGCAAAATGCTTATAATGTTATCCTCGGTCGAATATTTTTAAATAAGCCAGGAGCTTTCTTCGTTGATGGACCTGGAGGAACTGGAAAAACCTACCTATATCGTGCCTTATTAGCTACTGTACGATCTAAAGGATTTATAGCTTTAGCGACTGCAACTTCTGGTGTTGCGGCTTCCGTTCTTCCTGGAGGACGAACTGCTCATTCACGTTTCAAACTTCCTATTGACATACGTGATAATCATGGCTGTAACATTAGCAAGCAAAGTTCACTTGCATCTTTAATTCGAGATGCAAAACTAATAGTCTGGGACGAAGTTTCAATGGCCAGGAAAAAACTTATCGAAACTTTTGACTTACTTTTAAGAGACATAATGAACATAAATACACTCTTTGGTGGAAAGGTTGTCGTTTTTGGAGGTGACTTTAGACAAACTTTACCTATTGTACAGAATGGCAGAAAAGATGACTTCATTAATGAAAGTTTGCTAAATTCACCCATTTGGAGTCAACTTGAAAAATATCAACTGCTGCAGAATATGCGCGCAAGAACAGATCCTGCTTTCTGTAAATACTTGCTCAAAATTGGAGACGGCAAAGAAACAATAAATGCACATGGCAAAATTGAAATTCAAAATCTTTTCTTATTCCATTTACGAATGAAAAAGATTCATTAAACATTCTGTTCAAAACTGTTCATCCAACTTTTAACATGTTCACCGAAGATATCTCTTCCATAACATCCCGTGTTATCTTAACAACAAAAAATGATTTTGTTGCTAAAATTAATCAAATGCTTATTGATAAATTTCCAGGTGACGCCATAACATTTGTTGGAATAGACGAAACTATCGAGCCAAAAGATCAAACGGAATATGAAGATTTTTTGCATTCTCTAAATCCCTCTGGTTTGCCTCCTCATAGGTTAATTCTAAAACAAAATTGCCCCGTTATTCTGCTACGCAATTTAAATCCTTCCAAAGGTTTATGCAATGGTACACGACTCATCTGCCTTGATTTCAAGACTCAAGTTATTAGTGCCAAAATTGCCAGTGGTGATTTTAAAGGAAGCCATGTTTTTATTCCTCGAATACCGCTCTTATCTTCGCAAGATGCACAATTGCCCATTCCTTTTAAAAGAACACAATTTCCAATCCGATTAGCTTTTGCTATGACCATAAACAAATCTCAAGGTCAAACACTTGATTTTGTCGGAATTTATTTGCGCCAACCTGTCTTTTCTCATGGTCAACTTTATGTAGCTTTATCACGAGCCAAAAATTCAGACAACGTTAGAATACTAATTCGCCCACCAACTGATCATAATCATGATGATCACTCTACGTACAATATAGTGTATGATGAAATTATAGGAAAGGCATTCTCTTAGCTTGTCCGATTATATAAAAGATATAATAAATTCCTATTATGTAAGTTATTACCTCGATTCTTTTATTTATATACTTTATTCATTCTCCCTCTGTTCCTAATTAAACTATATATTAACTTTTGCTCTTCTCTTCATTTTTAGAAAATGACTCACAATCTTCTGATACATGAAATAACTCCAGAAACTCCACTTTGGACCTGTAAGGTACAAATTGTGGATATATATGGACCCGCAGAGAGCAAAGAAAGAAAGGTAAAATATCTAAACATGATCGTGCAAGATGAACAGGTACAACTATCAGATTGAATTCTTCTATATCCTAAACCATCAGTAAATAGTCCACATCATTTAGCTCCGCAATAACCTCCCAGTATTTCGTTTCTATATTTACTCACAGGAATATCAAACAAAGGCCACTGTTTATGCCGATGACATACCCAGTTATCAAAAACGGATTAAGCTTTACCACACTTTCCGCATAACAGGGGGACGCGCACAACCGCCATATTTGAGATATGAAAAGCCCCTGTCTGCATTTAACTGGGTTCTTGATAAAAAGAGCATCATTGATCCAATTAAAACAGATGATGTCGATGCGCTGCCGCCACCTACCAAGCTTAACATCACATCCTTTGCGGATATTAAACGCAACGTTGCCCAGACAATGGCAACTGACCTCACCAAAAAAGAATTTGGTAGGCCTATTATTTTCTTTGATCATTAAATTCACGTGTAATATAGACAACCAATTTAACACTATAAATGTACATATACTAACTCCATATACTATTGTCAACAGACATACTCGCAATTGTTGTCAACTGTTCTCCCCCAAGATATGTTGCGACTGTGGAAAAAAGATTGCAAGAACTCATTGTTGTCGATATGTTGTAAGCATATTCATTCAACTTTAATCTTCTGACGCCTCTTGCTTCCTTAACAACTTTGAACAGTAATACATACAAATAAATGTTCTTCCTTATACAGCAAACAAAATCTTACCTTCACTATATGGGAAGAGGGAATTATAGAAAACGAAGGTAGGAAACTGCTGCACCAATTCCGAGAATATCCTGTAATCCTTGCTCGCCGTATTGGAGCATCAAGATATAATGGTAAACTGCAATAAATAATGTTACCTATAATTTTTCTCTCATTTTCTCTTTTACAGCTAATCCAAAACTACTACACAAACATACAGTTGCTCAACTTTTAAACTGTTAAACCAGTAGAATTTACCTACTTATACTTTGGATCATCATAACATAGGGCAAAATTTTTGTGCCTCTGCTACTTTTAAACAGCAAAAAGGACTGAACAATATCAAAACAAGAAACACTCTTTATACTACTAGCTGCAACGGAAAATCTTGTTTGCTTAGCAGTATAACACAGACCATCTGTTTACTACTTCAATTATGTTATGAATCTTAGTAGATAGAATTTTGATCAACACTCCTCTTTGTCACTCTGTTCTTCGGACTGAAATTTCACGATATCCTGTACAGTTGTTGAACTTTTAAGCTGTACGTAAGAATCTATTTCCATTTCAGACAAGAATCAATTGTTGGTAGCTTACAGCTCATATTAGTTTTGAAATTTTAAATTTCATTTTTCTTTCACCCCTAAACAAATTATGCACTGTCCTTCTTACATCAGTCAAGTTTATCATTTTCCTGTTAGTCTTTTCCTCTGTTTTATGAATTGGATTTTCAATGTTTTCCGTCTCGGTTATTCAGATCTCTAATTTGCTCAAATTCTGTGTTAAAAGATCAAGTTTTAAAGAAAAGTTGGATTTTCGAACTTTCTTTCTTCTAATAATTTTTTTTTTTTTTTCATATTGGAATAATTGTTAATTCATCCTAATTTCCAATACCATGTGTAATTCTAGCCTCTTCAGCTTCAGGATACATTATGTATTAAAACCACTTTTACCTGCCACTGGATTTCCCAAATAATTTATGGATTTTTCCCTTATTTTGACACAGTCACACTAGAGAGTTTTCCCTCGAAGGATGTTCACTCCAATTTAATACACTAACATTAGCTACAATTTTAACTCATTTAAAACTATCAGATTTACTCCTCCTTTATTAACTTGTTACTATAATGTAATTGGCATAGGTGTGTCGCTGACAACAAAATTTGACACAACAATTCAAATTGATCCACCTTATCCACAACGCCGAGAACTACAAGCATGGTATTACATTGCCTTCATATATATTCTGACTATCTTTTCCTATCAATAAATATTATGAACTATTGACATTTGCATTATATACAGGGTCACTGAGAACCGCCAAATACTTACCTCTTTCACTCTCAGAAGTACATCCACATCAGGATTTCTTCTCTCTGTTCCCATGGATGAAGAAATAGTACCTATTGCAAGCATTGACTCGCAACAAGATGTCAGTACAACATTTGTCCTTTACTTCACGCAAAAATCTATTCTAATGATTCTCATCCTTATCTTTCTCCTAACACAGGGCCACACATTTACAGTTGAGGCAAAAATAACCTTTCCCACTGACCTTAAGAAATTCTATGTCTTAGTCTGTTCAAACTGTGGGCAAGACGTGCGCTATCCAACCATAAGAGAAATCGATTGTATGAACTGTGACCAGAAAAACCTCTTAGTACCCAGGTACTTTATGATCTGCATCTCACCATATATTGTTTCGCATAATTCTTATTTAAAACATCAAATCATTATGTTTTACATGTATAATTCTACAGGTGCAGGTTTGATATAGATCTCACAGATGACTCAGGCTCAACAATTGGAATAATTATGGATAAAGAAGGAGAAAAATTATTGTCCCTTACTGCAGAAGAAATTTACAAAAGGGCTTCGGATCCGGTACTACTTCTAATCAAATCATAATATGCATAATTCTCACTTAATAAATATAAATTCCTATCCTTCCTAGGGTAACTATCCATCTCTGGAAGACGTTCGAGCTAACATTAGCAACAAACTCTTCCATGTTCGAGCAAAGAAAGCATTTGCCCGTCCTTCACGCACAACATCAGTGAAATTATACATCCACTCCTGTGTTGAAAAGCAAAGTTTTACTGATTCTCTTCCCTCACCGAGCACAATCAATACTCATGAAGCAAGCAAAAGAAAACAGAAAGTCCACCCACCGCACATAACTGAAGAAGCTGGATCACTGAAAATGAAACAGAAACTGGATCCAGCAACTCCTAAAAAAACCAACTGAAGGTGATTTATTTACATCAACACTTATCATTTTATGCACTCCACATTTACATCCTCAAATATTACTTCTACTGTTAAATCAATACTATATGACACTTCCCCAGTTTATTTTTGTTTCCCCAGCTACTTCAACATATAATTTGTAGCATGATGATGACTCTTATGAATCTTTCTTTCCACTTTCTCACTACCATCTAACGTCCTTATTGGTTACTTTTAGTCATTGCCAATGTTTTGCATAACAACTGTACCATTGACTTAAATTTATGACTCTCTAAGTACTAAACGTTTAGTCCATATCATGTAATATATTCATTCACCTCTTCTGTTTCTTTTCTTGTTTAGTCAAATAATTGTAAACACGCATATTCTGTGACATACTTTGATGGCTTCTTATAGGACAAATCCCCAGACTAAAATCATAACACCATAAAAAACAAATTAATATCTGCTCAGCAAAAGACAAAAATAACAGATGAACAATCTTGATCTAAGCTGTTAATGCTTTATATTTGCGTAAGAAACATACCATTTTATTAAACACTTCTATTTCCAAGTTTTCGCTTACTGCTTAATTTGCCTGTTTGTTAATAATATCCTACATGTTTGCATCGTTTTTGGCTTTACTGCTTCCTCTACACTGCTGCTTCTTCCTACATGTATATACTTGTGCTATCCTTTTCTTTTCCCCTTTCGCCTGTTACCTACTAATAGAATTTTCCCTAGGTTACCCAATGTTTTTGACAACTACTTCTGCACTTTTGGGTGGTAATACAGGTACTTTGACTTCCTGCACTATATCACTTACAATTACATTCTTTTCCACTTCCATTATTGCTATAACTATCTTTCACATTTTCCACAATTATTTGCTCACAGGGAAAACTGCTGACTTTTTGCCTTCTACATAGATGCTTCAAAAACTTTCTACATGAAATGCTCCGAAAACATCTTACCTTATACTACAGAGGTACTTAAAGCTAACTTACCTCCCTTTCTAAGTCTTCATGACATAACACACTATTTCCTAACACACTCTGTATCGTAATCCCTTTATCGTACAGACACACAATGAAGGAACAAGCTAGCTTCAGAAAACTTTTGTGCCACTGTACTGTTAATGTTTGTTTTATGCTACTTCCAGCAAAATCCCTGTATAACATTTCCACTTTATATATTATGTAAATATTTAATCTAATGATGCCTTTTTCCGTTACATTTACAAACACAAATGCAAGCCCGTGCCTTGCACGGGCACTCCCCATCTAGTATTATATAGAAGAGTGAAGCCAACCAGGACGACCAAGGGTATTTTGGTAATTTTACGCTGTAAAATATCCAATTTCTAGAATCATCTTAAGGAATGACTAAAGGCAAAAGCGTTATTTCGCTCGACTGGGAAAATAATATCAGAGGCACAACAACATATGTCAAAAGAGATCCATACGTCTTTTTCACTCTTTTTTTATGCTATCAAGAATGGTCTCTTCATCATCGTCAAGAACTTTTTGATTCTCTTCATCTTCACAACGGGTTACACTTCAGTTTTTAGATTTGTTCATCATTTAAATTTTGCCAAATTCTTTGTACGTTTTTCATTCATCTACTTTACATAAATCCTTGGGTTTCATTAAGGAATCTAGAAGAGTATAGATGAAAGTTTCACTGAGCTGCATGTCAAATTGCTTATTGATTTCATATATATTCTTCTATATATTTTCAATCTTAGATAGGTTCTTCATCAGTTTTTAAGTTCTTCTGTCAATTTTTGTTTAATCTTCATCTATTTCTGTTAAATTTTTTCTTAATCTTCATAAAAAAAATTGTGTTATTCACTTCTTCTGATCGACTATTCTACCCTGCAGATCAAATCTCTGATTGAATCTTCATGATCTACTCTAATGGGTTTTCCAATGTCGGGTAAGTTCTTAATTGATTTCTTTGTTCTTCTCGCAATTATTATATAATCTTCATCATATTCCCTTTAATTTTGTTTAACATTCATAAAATATCTGTATTTCATGGCTAAATCTCAATAACTAAGGAAATAAAGTGATAGATTTCTCTATGTAAAAAAAATTCAGTGACATCAGTGTAAATATTAATCTTATTCTAGGTTGAAATGTCTGTATTTGAGAAGTTTTGGATTATTTTGCATGTTACCACTTTATGTTTGCTCATGTTCTTTTTTTCCCCTCCTTTTTGGTTCTCTTTACACTTTCTAATTGCCTTACTTTTTGGATTGTAAAGGTAATTTTCAAAATACCCAATTTACTTTTGGTGTTTAAGCAATCATCTTGTGTAGGTTGATTTTCTGCACTTCTAATTTATTAGTGTATTCTATGAGTTTGAGACAAAAGTTAATAGTTACAAAGCCGATATAATGCAATAAAAAAGGTGAGTATGCTTTTACAGATTAATTAACTTTGACCTTCTTCCCAAAAGTCTCTTATAAACAAGGTGAGAGACAAAGAAACTATTCAATGCTCTATGAAACTATTGGAATTGCACATATATGTTTTTGTCCTTAACTCAAGTTAATATAATTACACAGATAATTTTAGTTATAAGTAAATACACATTTTTCCATTTTTACTCTACATTTGATCTTGATGTGTAATCTATACACTAGACAATAATCTATTGTGAAACCTCGAAATTTGATGATGATTATTGCTTTATTCAAGTACCATGACTGAGATATTATTTTTTTCCTAACTATTGCAATGACTACTACAGTAGAAGGTGAATAGTTGTATTAAGATGTTGGCATCTCTTTTCTCACATTGCCATATATCTCTAAATTTTGTGGTAATGCTTCTCTTGAACCAAATGTTCCAACATACATTAGTTACATGGATAGCCACATTAAGAGTAGCGCCTATTGCTTTCATTCACTCCAATCTTCTAGGTTCGATTGCAGTTGCTCTTGTTCCAATAGTAAATTATTATTTTTCTTGAAGATGTTTGTTTAGACTATTCTATTATAGTTTTCTTTTGATGATTGAATTATTTTCGTGTATTACTCTAAATCATTCGAAATCTACATTCTGTTAATTTGAAGGTACTGATTATAAATTTATACACAAAATTTAATGTTCTTTTTTTTTTTTGTGGTACTCATGTACATATGGTATGGTAAGTTTTAATTTTTATTGGTTCAATTCCTCTCCTTTTTACTAATTCTTTCACGTATAAGTAAGTAGTTGCACGTTATTTGCTCCAAATTGGTTTTCTCTTGAGAATTTAACATCCACACATTTTTGTTTGATGTCTGCAAAAAATTTCTTCATCTTTATTTTATCTATAATTTATTGGTCTTTTTTTGTGTGGAATTTCACTGAATATGTTATTGTTGTTGTTGTTTATTGGCTTTTTTTGTGCCTTTGATTTCTCCAACAACAAATAGTGTGGCAAATGAAATCCAAGGGACTTATAAATATTGAGAGATAGAGAAAACTATGTCTTTCCTTTCCCGTGTTAGAGAAAATTACAACTGTTTACCATCATAGAGCCAGATTGTAGAATATTCTAGCATAAGATTTTAGGAGAGACTATATAAAATGAAACCTTGTTTATTTTTGTTTTTTTATTTATCAAAAAGGAAAAAAAGCTTATCAATTAGAAAAAGATAATAAGATATGTGGACTTTTAATTTTTATCAATTCATTGCTTGGGTACAATTTTTCATCCTACTATAGAGCACTATAGTTGTGACATAGTTCACATATATTTTTCTGAAGTTTGAAAAAAAATATTTATCTAAATTAATCTTCACGGGCCTTGAACTTAGCTTGAAGCTGAACTGAAATGGGACAAAAGTGATTCGGTTGATCAAATTTTAATTATTTTATGAGCTATTAATGGATTGGTATGACTTAGTTTTGATTTTAAAAGAATGAAGCAATATGGTTGAGTATCATAATTCTCGTAAACCTTGAAGGCACTCTTCTATTTTTGTACTACATGAATATTGCTTTGAATGTATAACTATTCTTTGTAGAGCAGGAGTATATTTTTCTAAGAACTTGGCCTACGATCATCCCAATGTTCATGTAATGCCATTATTGATTTTTTTTCACTGTACTATTTCATTGGTTCATGTATTTGATTATTGATGTTAGCTTATATAACTTTATTTTTGTCCTTTTTAAAGATATGTTCCTTCGAGTACTAAACCGTTAAAAAGTCAAGCACTACGATTTTACCAAATGTAAGCTTGGTGGTAGCTTTCCAACCTTGTGAAACTCATCCATTAAGGCAACCAGCCAGTTAAAAACAAATCAGTTTGTAAAAAGTTTTGCTAAGGCAACATTTTCCTTCTTTTTGATAGATTAACTATTATGGAGTGTTTTTATTATTTTTTCTTTTCTCATATGTTTAATGATAAACCTTGTCGACCTAGACTTTTGTATCAGACTGATGTATGCCTTGCATTTCAGTTGTTGATAAAATGTGGTCTCAGAGATGAAAATATTCTTGTCTTCATGTACGATGACATTGCTTACAATGAAGAGGGCCCAAGACCAGGAGCTATCATTAATAGTCCTGCTGGAGGATGTTTACAAAGGACTTGCTAAGGTATGTGTTTTTTGCCATCATTATTAGTGTATACCTAAACTGTACTCCCATCTCATGTGTTATCTCTTGAGGCAAGATTACACTAGAGATGATGTTAACGTGGACAACTTTTTAGCTGTTCTCCTTGGTAACAAAACTGCTCTTACTAGGTACCGGAAAGATGGGAGTGGTGGTCCAAATGATCATATTTGCATATTCTATAGTGATCATGGTGGCTCTGGGTTGCTTGGTAAGTAGCTTATTTATGCCTCTTTTTGGTTGTTGCTTTGCTTTCTATAACTTGCGCTTTATACTAATTTCTTAATGAAGGCTTAAATCTAAGTCTGCAACTCGATTATTTCACATCTATTGAATATTAATGACCATTGTCTCACTGCTTTTTACTGTTTGAAAAAATTGATATTTATTCGTTCTGTATCATATGTAAAAGATTTATCAGAGGTAATGTGAACTGACTGTAATTTGAGACTTTAAATGGTATTATGTATTAATGAAGTTAAGATGAGGATTGTGGAGATGTGGTCCAATGAATATTCAATGGCTACATTGGCATGTTAAGTCCACATTTTCCTCCGACATACATTTTTCTTCTCATAAACTTGGATTAGGGATCACCTTTTATTGAGATGAATGCGTGGTTATGGTAATTATTAGATAAGCATTAATGTAAATCAGAAAGAATTTACATAGTTTTATCAGCTGACTAAACAACATAAAAGCAAATTTCTGCGCAAGAATTTTGACTCCATACCAAATGCATGGCATCGGTGGTTTTTCTAATTGCAATCCTATTCATGGAAAGTTCTCATTTAACAATTATATTAGCCAGTGAACATCTTTCTCAATAGAATAATTCAGAAATCTATATTTTTCACGCGAGTCACATGAAAAAAAAATACATGATTGGCACCGGTACTCACTTTTATTTAATGTGTCTGCATGCATAATATATTCCTATGGAAATGTCTTCAATGATTTCGCCTCTAGAATATCACCAAATGAAGTAAAGGCATTGGAAGCAAAGGTAGGCTTTATTTTCGTAAGACCTCAAAGGCTATTGTGAGTACAAACAACTCATTGTACAAGTTTCTTTGGATTGCACCAAAATTTAGGCTTCTGGAATACGTCAAACTATGGTGAGGGCGTGTGAAGTACACACATCTCACTTTGTTGATTCCTTGAACATAAGTGTGTAAATGGGACATGAAAATTAGAGTTGAAGGGTTTAAATGGAACAAAGTTGAGTTGAAGTGTCAAAATGAAATTTAGGGGCAAGTTTAACATCTTGTTTGGATGGTTGTTATCTGTTATATTGTATTGTATTGTATTGATTCTTCATTTAAAGATAAAGGAATGTATTCTCTACCTGCCGAATGGAAGGGAGGGTGGAAGTTTAATTTCACGACATGTACAACAAGCTCATAGAGCAAGAGACTTCTTTTGTGTTTGATGGTGGGACACCATTAGATGAGAATGGGCTGTGTTTTGTACTTAGATTGTTGCATTTTCACATTCATGTTTCGGATCTGAACCCTGATGTGCACATGGTGCTTGATTATATGTTTAAATGGATTTAATGTCTGAATTTCATTTTAAATGGGATTTCTGAAGAATAGTGTGTTAAACACCAATAGTTTTTTTAAGAATCTCTTTTTGTTGAAGTAATAGGTAATATGTCTAGGTCAGCCATTGCGTCACAAAAATGACGTTTTTAATGGGCGAGAAGATTTTGTCTTCCACAGAGACATTACAGTGTAGAGACAATAAGAAAATGTTAGCTTTTCTATGATACCTACAATTAGAAGAAGCTAGACAAATGAGGCTTTGAGGTGAGTGTTTTACCTCCGTTAAGCTTTTTATGTTTACTTTGAATAATATAATGTGTTCTGAGTATATATTTGTGCTACAAGGATAATAACTATTGATATGAGAAGGCTTAAGGTAAAGAAATATTTTGCAGTACATTGATACAGGTTCATAGTTTTTGACTATAAGCCAGAGAGGAAATAGTTGGAAGAAAGAGCAACAAAAGCCAATGCAAAAACAAGAGTCATTTAGAAGCTCCCGCTTTGGGAATGGAGGTACTTATATTTTGAAGAGCTTCTTGGACTTTTAGTTATTTTGAATTTTTCAAAATATTATTACACTTCTGTGAATAAGCCTTAAGTTGAGGTGTTTATTGTAGTACGAATGAAAACTTGAAGCAGTAATTTGGATTTTCATCTGACAATGAATATGTGAACTCCCCTTATGAGGACGTCCCTTTGTAGTTTGGGCTAAGCAAATACCAAATCCAACTACTATTGAAATGTCTGAGCCATTTCAGAAAATGAATGTCAGCTTATTACTGCTGAGTATGCCTTCAATAATGTCTCTGTTTTGCAACTATGGAGTTTATAATAAAGCTTATAGCAGTTTTAGATTTGCTGCTCGCTTTTTTTTTGCAAGTGCTCGTATATCTGTTAAGAGCATAGTCAATTGAGCATAAGAGAAATTCTAATGATGTATTTATTGTAGCATTTGCATTTCTGGAACTTTTATGTATTTATAAAAATAGTTTAGCAATATAGTATCCCGTTGTTTTTATTGTATAGCAACAATATTTGTTCATCATTAATCAAACTACAACAGAAAAAAAGTCATAATTGTTCTTTCAAAATCATACATGTTGGGCCCGTGCATAGCACGGGCATTCCATATCTAGTATATATAATAATAAGAGTACATCATCAGTTTTATTTTTTTATTTTTATCTTACTGTCTACTTTCATTTTCATTTTCCTCTCTTACTCCGTACATATATAAATACTTCCCACTTTGTGCCTACATTCATTCAGATTCTTCAATTTCCACGTTTATGAAAAATCCAATGTTATGGAAAATTAACCCTAAATCATTTTTTAAACTAAAACTCCTAGTATTTTTAATTTTTTAATATAAATTTTAAAAATGCTCCAATACAAAAAGGGAAATGACATAAGAAGAAAATTATATTGACACAAGAGATCACGTAGCTTCAGATCAAAATTATTGTAGAATGAAATATCCTTATTTTCTTTCTTCTTCTTATTTCACCCCATGATAAGCTTTAACTGAAATTACAAAATGATCTTGTATTGTTAATGCCTTGGTATGTCACATCTTTACATTATACTTATTTCTATAAAATTCAGACTATGAAGAATTTGGACTTGGGATTGAAAATGTGAGATGGTGAATGCATATGATGTGTCTGTTTGTACATGGTATTTTCAAAATTTAAGAAAAGAGTCATTTTACTTTTTTATGAAGCTATAACTAATAATTTTTGAAGATTTCGATATTGGCATGTGTAATTGAAGAACAAAAAAGTGTCCAATGATGTAACGGAAGAAAAAAAAGAGACGGTTAATAATTAGTGACTTAACTTTTCTTTTCATTACCTTAAATGTAAAAAGAAATTAAATAGAAGAAAATGCCACTTAACTTTTATAGAGCCCAACTATAAGGTTATCGTATTACACGTGCAATACACTAATATTTGACAGACGTTCCCTCAGAATTTGGCTCGTCGTTTATCGTCTGACATGTCCATTTATGATGAGAAACAACAACATCTTTCTTCTTACCCCATTCATGAATCCTCATATGAAGTTCAGCCGCAGCAATCAATAAATGAACACCTTGAATTGATATCAAAATGAACAGCTTAATATATATATATATATATATATATTATAGAGAGAGAGGGGGGGTGGAGCTACATACAAATTTAGCATCATATATAATTGCTTATTTCTAAGGTATAGAATGAATAATGTCAAATACTCGGTGCAGATAAAGTTATGCCTTTTAATATTATGAATTGCCAAATATAAGGAAAAAATATTAATCATAAAATACCATACATAAAAAAATAAACTATTACAATTATATTGATGTAGAATAAACACAAACTTACTTTCTTGAAGCTTGCTATAAGATTATAGGAACTCACTCTCATATTCGATCTCAGTTATACATCCTTGACTAAATTTTTATTGCTGCAATAAAAAACGTCCAAAAAGTTTAACAATCAAATACTGTTTAAATAACTATCAAAGAAAAATCAACTACAAAAAAATAAAATAATATTTTCTAATGCAATTGAGAATCTAATAATTCGAAAATTAAAAAACACATGAACCATAGAAAACGTTGATAGGTCTGGAATATATATAGTAAGAGGATGCATATTTTTTTGACTTATGAAATTCTTCTTTAATAGACAAATAAATAAAGAAAAGATCAATTGAATAGATAAGATGAATATGAACATTTCAAATTTTATTTTTCCAACCTTTGAGATTCTCATCAAACGTAATTAATTGGTTAATATGTGGTCACTTCCCATTTAATTGACTATTGTCATTTATTAGATGGTAAATTTATTATTTGGTACAAAAATATCATAGAATCAGTATTTAAATTAGGGGTAGTAACGTTGATTAATTTTAATGTAGATTTTTGTACTTATTTTATTTTAAACTTATGTTTTCCTACTTTTAAATAACTTACAATTCAAAAAATAATTAAAATGATATTATTTAATTAATTAGATGTTTAATTTAGTCTAGGGGTAAAATGGTAATTCAACTTTTCATCTTTGGAGCTTCCACTTATAATAATATATATATAATAATACTAGTTTCTGAGTACGTGCGTTGCACGTGTGACCCATGAAATTTTTTATAGATCCATTACAACGATTAAGTATATATGAAAATATATTATTAGTAATAAAATAACAATTACAAATAAATTTTTAAAAGGGTGACAAAAACAACATTTATAAACTTTGAACTTGGTTAGTAGTTAGCAAATTTTCAATTATGTCACAAATGGCTAACAGAGCCCCAAAAGAACCCAGACTTACGAAAATAAAAAATTCAAGAAAATTATATTAAAGAAGTCTAATATATAGAGAAAACACATTAAATGAATAGAGAAGGAAAAATATACAAACATACACATCCTTTCTTAAACTTTAGTCATAACAATATAGAGGAAAACGAAATACAAAATTAATACATAATTTTTTGAAATTTTTGTCGACGCCTTCCATAACCAATCAAAATTGTAGAGTCTTCTTCATTGAGTCAAACTAAAGAATGAATCAAATATTACAAAATAATATAAGTGCTTCACTACTTTGATAATATAATGACAAAGGATAATCTTGGTGGGGGTCTCATAAAACAAAAAATATATGAATTTATATAGATAAAAGCGCAGAAATACCAAAAGATATCTTAAAGTTTCAAATTAAACATTTGGAGGTTATGATTATAAAAAGCATGCAATTTATGAATATTAAGATATCAATTGAATAGATAATTAGATTTAAAAAATACTATTAAATCTAGAGGAACTACGCAAACCTAATTCTCACCTTAATCAAATATGTAGGCATGTTTCCTCAAGTTCGATGATTAAAGTTCAAAAAATTAAATAAAATTATTAAATTCTCCTTCAAGAAAATGAAAAAGTTTTTATCCTTGTTAAGGAAAGAATGTTTATCCTTATTCAAAAATAAAAAAATAAAAATATTTTTTTTACTTCACATTTCAATTAATTTTAGAATGAAAAAAAAGATAAATAATTTTTTAGAACATAGAAAAGTGTCATATCACTTTTTTAAGAAGAGAAAATTCAAGAATGACCAAACTGAAAAGCAAAGTAAAATTACAACTAAATTTGAACTTTAAATTACCCCTTTTTTGCTGCTTGCCAATGGTTCTTGCCTTCTCGGTATTGGATTGTTTTCTGAAGGAGAGATAACTCTAACCTTTCACGTAGGAAATCAATTAACAATTGAAAGCAAAGTGAATTAGGAAATCAATTAACAATCATAAAAATTCTTGATGAATGATCAAAAATTCTTTATATTGATTTTGTTTTTGTAAAGGAATTAATGCATATTCATTTCTTCCAGCCGTCACTCGATTGAATTTTCAAAATCATGCCAAAGTATGCACGTCTTGGTTCATAAGTTGTGATGACTTCAACCTTTCATCCAATATTCATGCTATTTGAACAAATCAGTCTTTAAAACTTCACAGTCATGTTGCAGAACTCGTGTTCCTCTTCACAATCTTAATTTTACCTTCAAATTGGCAAAAAGAGAGGTAAATTGAAAACTTGTAACACA